TCCTACCTGTTTTGATTCTAAGCAAGTTAAACTTCCTGTGTTCTTTTTCTTACATATGAGAGAGAGTACAGAGCCCATATGGACTCACGGACTGCACTGCTAGTTTAGTCATCTGCTAAATTCTTAGCACAGCATTTAGTCTACCTATTACTAAGACAGCCTAAGCCCATTCTTGGCAATTGTCTTCTCTCTCCAGGTCCCCAAAGACTGTATTACAACTACCCGAAAATTACTACACCCTCAGCTTATCTTTTAAGTGTTCCTTCAAGGACATATTTCAGTGTTTCAAACAAAAATAACTAAGAAATTAGAAGATAGCAGGAATTTTTCTCCATTAGAAATGTTTTCCCTGCACGTCACACATGTGAATACCTATTTGAACTATGTAAGTACGTTGGCCTCATCTGCACTGAAGTCAATGGATTTGACTAAGTTTGTGCTTCCAGACTGGCATCTTTGTTTTTAGAAGGCTGGAAGAATCGGAATACTAAAATAACATTTCTACAGGGCCATGATCAGCTAGAGCTAAGTATGGCACAAGATTTTTAAACTGAATATACACGTTTGAGATTGCTGTCTCTAAAGTCTTATCTACGCCAGACACGAGAGCACAATTTCTCAGCATCTACCCGGTTTGCTTCCCTCGTGTGTACGTCCTGTCTGGCCTCTTTGGGTACCTGAGTTTGAAACTCCAGTGCCAGAACCATCAGCTGACAGTGTACTAGTCATGTTAGATGACATTAAGTGGCAACTATGAAACGTCAGCCTATAAGGCTGGGGTAATTTAACTCAATTCCAGGGCATGTGTGTTAAATGTTTATAGATGGCTGGGTTGTGAACACTTGGTGGATGAGATGTCACAAGTCAAGGTGGAGAGGGACGTGAGCCAACTTCAAAGACAAGGATCTACCTAATGGAGTAGTTGGAAAGAGAAAAGCAGAGACTCCTGGTGGCAGTAGTATATGGTGACAGGAGGGACCACAGAACCAGATGGGGAAGGGCTTGGCATACCCTTGTTTTGCGCATCCCGACCTTGAGATGAAACACCCTGACCCTTTGCTTCACTTCCTTCCACATGCAGCTCACATACTGCCTCCCCCCACAACGCCTGGCTTTTTAGTAAATCACTTCTCGCCCTGTCCCCATAGTCAATTATCTCCACATAGCAGTTTTTACTCGGGCTATGTTATGATTTATAAATTAGCAAGTAAGTTAGATTTCTCAAAGGTCCCACCTACTAGGAGTTTTGTTGTTTTTTTCCCTGTCATCTAGCATGGCTGTAAAATTTAAAAAGGGACTGAAGTAAATATTAAGTAGACTAGCATGGATTTCTCTGTAATCAAATTCTGGACTTCAAGAAATAATTCACAAGTAAAAAAAATAAGATTTTCAAAGCACTTAGAATATACCATCTTTACCATGAGAGTTGGTCACATGTTATATTTACATAATAACAAAGCTAGTTCAAGTTATCCTGTATCCATAATTGTACATAACTGGGGAAAGACCTTTAATGGATATATATAATCCATTCAAGTTGGAGATAGAAGAGGCAATAATTGAGTTTTTAATCTAATAAACTCTTATTTCAGATGTTGGTTTGCACTTTCCAAAGCCTCTTCACCTGTTTGCATCAAGTACATCCAAGCCACGCGATCCTCCCCCTTCTTGTGAAATACTCTTCTCCCTAAACCCCCAGTTGGTTTCGCTACTCTTGACCTATCATCTTTAGATGACTATTCCCTGTGGCTTATTCAAAGGAAACTTCAAAAAAAAAAAAAAA